CACGCATGAAAGTGAATCGAGTAAATATATCATACCAGTTCTTGACAAACGAAATTAATGTCCAGGTTGTATAAATAAAACTACAGAAGATCAATAAGCATATAAACCAGTTCCTACTGAAAAATATTTCAAACAGCAAGAAAGTTGTGGCAGTGATCAAAGTTGAGTAAATATAAAAAGAAACTAATAGATGAAGCCCAGACAAGATAATAAACAAGAGACCAGCATACGAGTTACAAATGTGTACTACCACCACAGACGTCTTGATAGAGGGAAACACAGTGGGACTCTTAACTATGGACAAAAACTAAATACTCTATAACCACAGTTATAATATAGGTAATTGGTCAGACTTATGATGATGTCATATCTTGCCTAGTTATGATTGGAATTGACAGAATAAGGCTCTATTTTTACTTTCTGTCGATAGTAGGTCCAGGATAAGATCCTAGAAAAATATTCAATTTAATCGGACAAAAATGAACTAATGCTGGAGACCTATTCCTTTAGCTAATTATATGAGAAGCTTCGTTTGAGTGAAATCCCGTAGCCGTTCAATATATGATTGTTACCTTCTATAATTGGATTAATTCCAGGAAGTGATAGCATAACTTGAAAGTTGATATGGCTTTGCCGAATATATATACGAGATGATTTAGAATAATATGGCCTAGACAGTTTCTTAACCAATAAAGAATATAAAGCTAGAATCGATCATAGAACATTTCGACAGAGGAGCAAGTTTTACCTGTATAAATCCACCAGAACCCTGACTTGAACAGGTAAATAGGAGTAGTTGAGGAGGCGATATTCCCTGCTTAGTTATCGACTGCTGCGCTGAAGGAGAGGAAGCGAATGAAGTGGATTGAGTATGATCAGCCCAATTTATACGAAGCGAGGAAGGTAGCACTCCGCGGATAGAGACAAGAACGCTGAGGCTGTTAGCATCCTGGCGAAAGTGGACGGGAGCCAAACGACTATAGATTGGGATTGAGTCAATAAAAGTTATAAGAGACAAATATACGATATCTCTAGAAATGCTTATTTTAGAGTGGCAGAAAAAAGTTATGGGATGATGAAGGACTGGTAGTAGAATTTTCCCACAATGATATGAGTAGAGTTGATATTTTCATTTACTTCCACATAGCCTTGCTTTCCCAAAAGTTGTTCTCATCCAGGATGGACTGAAGTTTCGACCTCGCCTAGGTCTTATCAACACCCCCAACGGGAGTCGAACTGTGATAGTTCAGCATGCGAGCTCGAAACGTTAACCAAGCAGTCACATTGACACGAGTGCCCTTGGGTCACAGAGCAGATGTCACTTTCAAGGAAGGCCATGCCTTATCCCATTTCATATTATTTGGTGGAATTGTTAATGAAGCAAACGTATTTTTGCTATAACAATCGACTAGATTACTTATTTGTCGTATATAAGCAAAGCTTCGAAACTACCAGTAAATCAGGGTGAATAAATCTCATATAACTGATTTACTAGTGGTCTCGAAATTCTGCTTATATACGAAAAATAAGTAATCTAGTCGATTGTTATAGCAAAAATAAACTTACTTCATCGACAATCCCACCAAATAATGTGATATTGGATAAGGCCTGGCCTTCCTTGAAATTAACATCTGCTCTGTGACCCAAGGGCACTCGTGGCAATGTGGCCGAGTGGTTAATGTGTTAAACTCTATTCTGCACTGTCACGACTCGACTCCGGCTGGGGATGTTGATAAGACCGATGCGAGGTCGAAATTGCAGTTCACCCTGGATGAGAACAACTTTTTGGAAAGCAAGGCTTTCTGAAATTCACTAGAGCCGTCAGCTTTACTCATATTATTGTGGGAAAATTCTATTACCAGTCCTTCATCACCTTACACGAAATAGGGTGAATACATCTCATATAACTAATTTACTGGTAGTCTCGAAACTCTACTTATATACGAAAAATAGGAAAAGGTTGATAGAAGCGTAATCAAAATTTAAATCATTTGTGGCGTCAGTAAAGTCAGAAGGATGACATTTACAATGGTTGTTATGATTTTTACAATACTTATAGTTTCGCACAGATGTGAGAAGATAAGACCTAAATTTGATAAATTACATCACGAGCTATGCTTAGACCTAATGGAAAGATAACAGTCTAAAGAATGTTGCACTAAAGCTTTATAGATATCTGGCGTGCATAGCTAAGTGATTATATACGTGTTCTTGAGGAAGGTAGATGATCAGAAGGATAGAGGGAAAAGAGGAAATCGGAGTGGAGCAACAGATATATACTGCTTGAATTATGCAGCCGACGCGTAGACATCAAATAAAGGGACGCTGATGAGTCGTAACGCATAAAAATTTAAAGTCGGCCTTGTAGCAGTCATCTTTGCGAAGCAATAGAAAGGTAGTTAGAGTATTTTGTCTAAGACGAAGACGCTAGTTGAGTTCGGTTATCTTCATATGGAGGACTGGCCGACTCAAACCATCACAGATGCTGAAGAATGGAGCGGCGTAAGTGTGGCATAATTTAAAAGAAGTTCGCATAAATACGCATATGAGGGGCTCCAGGCTGTAGATAAGCGAGCTTCAGGACTTTCTATGAGCGTAATCTGAGTCAAACCAATGATGAAGAATAGAGTATGGCGGGCAACAATGAGCACAACAGCGGCATTAAAACGCGCAAAAGTATCGGAGCACGGTAACAAGCATAGGTTGTCACAATGGAGACAGGGACTGGAGAAGTCGCTAAGTCGGAAGTTCTTCTCGTTTAAAACACCGAAGTAATTTGAATAGCAGCTCCTGATCAGTTCGAAAGGTCCCGATCTGATAATTCCACGAATAGGCTCAATAAAGAAGCGATATTTGATTTTTCCATGCCAAATATCGTGAATTATTGATAGTCACAAGTTGTCTCTGTTAAGTAAGCGCTGTTAGATAGCTGTGCATGTGGTGTAACGAAATTAACAGTTGGAGTGAGAAAAAGTAGTGATGGATCACTACAGATGTTAGGCCCAAGTAAAGATCTGATTGTTAAAAATTGTTTGATTCCTTGGCTAAATGTGAAGTATCGATAGTATTTTTTGAAAAAGCTTTATTAAGTGGTCATTTTTAAATGATACAGAAGTTTTAACTTCTAAGGCAAGTAAAAATAAGTTGCGGATACATCAACCCTGTCTAAAAATTAGGCATTATTGTTATAATTACATTCGCATAGGCAAAGATATTACAGAACGACTTTCAACTTAGGCTTCTGCTTGCCAAATAATGTATACTTCTAGATTATATACAGTTAAATTAACATCAAATCAGTATCGTAATCATTGGCATGTAACTGGCAATTCAAGCTCATCAAGTGATAAAACATCTAGTTATTAGATCATTTGCCATCTTAATAGTGAACATTGCCCACATGTACTACATACTTCTTTCGTCTCAACATTTTGTTCATCATTTGATCCAACAGGTGGTTTGGAATACATCGAATCACCGGTCATTGATGCTTCAAGTGCCGATAAATAGAGATATATAAATAATTTAAGTAAGGACAATGACAATGAAAGACTAAATTTAATTTAATATATAGCATATTATCTGCTTGGTCCTGATATATAAAGCGACCTTCGATGTAATCTAATTCTGTCCAATACCTATGGATGGCTAAGACATAAAAGGCAAAATAAGAAGCATTTGTATTTATCTATTGAGTAAATTCCAATAAAATCAGTAATCCCGAATAGAAAATTAAGTTACCTTAGATCGCATAAGGTGGTGAAGGACTAAAATTAAATTTTCATGCCACTGAATAAGAAGACCTTACAATACCTCTGAATTTCACATGCCTTCGCTTCCCAAAGGTTGATTGTAGTTTTGACTACGCCTAGGTGTAATAAGCACCCCAAAATAAATTGTCAACATAGTCATGTAGGCCAAGTATCAATACTGGTAGTCACGAAACTCTACTTATATGAAAAATAAATTTCAGCATGTTTGCGAACATCTTCGACCACGGGTGCCAATGGGTCACAGGAAAGATGTAAATTTAAAGGCAGATTACACAATTCGCATTTACATTTCTAACGAGAAGGCAAAATTCAACTATCATCCATTTATGCAGCCTAAAGGCATGCCTTTTTTTCGATTTTATACAACTTTTTAAATTCCGTATTTTTGCCAAGCGACATAAGTGCTTGCTACCTGAGTTATTTTTTAGTAGTACTCAACTTTTCTTACTACCTGTAGGATAAATCTAACTGTATTTCTATGAAACAATTTATATACACAAAAAATGG